TCTGTACATGATCTTTCTTCGATCATCAACTTGGTCAATATTATTGAACCCAGAGATGACAGACATTGATGAACGAAGGTATAACTGATACCCGAAGTTGAGCATAGGTGGTTTTGGCATTTGTAGATAATAATTATGTACAATAGGTAGTTCTATTCCATATGCACCTAAAATAAGATTTGCTCTATGTGAAGCATCTTTTAAATAGACTTTATGTCCTTTGTCCTGTGACGTAAATATAAGTTGATTCGTAGCACTCAGTGAAACTGTTACATTATGTTGACCTTTTTTCTTGTTATAATAATCAAACTGTTTTGTTACAATCTCTTGTAGTTTTGATACAATAGTATCCATATCAAATGAAAGAGCTGACTTAAATGTACACACCTTTTCTTCTCCATCTTCGTCTAACTGTAAGACAAAATAATCTGTTTCGTCACAAACAATAAAGTTCGCCATAGTACTGACACTTTTTACTCTCATCTTTATCTTACTTGGATGCCCCATGTTAGGATCTGCTTGAAACTGTATTGTCCCGTAGTTATTAGGATCAGTCGATTGTAGATAATACATCATTTTTATATGTAGTAAAAGAATGAGTGTTGTTCCATATGCATATGAATGTTATAAGTCTAGCGTACTTCAATATAAAGAATATACTCTCAGAATTACTGATAATGCTTTAGTCATACATAAAGAAGGTGCTGATGAAGACATTACCATCGGTCCTGGTATATTACCTATCGAGCAACCAGATGGTACAATTGTTGAAACAGACTTAAATCAATACCTTCAAGCGTTACAGAATCGTGTGACAAAAGTAGAGAATAATTACTTAGATGCTCCATTCTTCACAACTGATAGAGATTATATGTTTTCATGTATGGCGAGTAATGGTTTGCAAGAAACTCGTGAGGTAAATATTAATGAAGCATTAGAGACTATAATATATCATGTTAAACGGTTATTATCGATTGACCATGGAGTTCATTTTGACCCAAGGTCTACACTGTTCAATATACCAATGATTGAAAACAGTCAATTAACATTTAAAGAAGATACATTGTATAATGCTTTAAACGCAGCATTTGCTTATATATTAGGTCATGAACAAGTACAAAATAGTGGTATTGCAATATACTTAGATAAAGTTATGTTAAAGAAACCATTGACATTCACAGAAGATGGTCCAAAAGCAACTGGTATTGTTGGTGATGGAACATTATTGACGAAAGAATACTTAGCAAGTCATGTCGGAGAATTTTTCTCCACTAATGATAGCATCAGTACAACACCAGAAGTTATTTTATTGAAGAAACCAATCACATTTGATGTTAAAGGAAAGACAAAAGCAACTGGTATAGCTGGCGATGGAGTTTCTTCTGACTAAGGAATACTTGAAGAAAAATATCAATGACTTCGTTGAAATTGTCAAAGATAAAGAATCTGGTCTTAAGTTCAACCCTTTATCATTCATCTTTGCCATAGCAAACGCCGGTGCTACTGCAGCCTCATGGATATCACTCCAGAGTCAAATAAATGCTCTTTGGGCTTTTGTTGAAAGTCAAGAAGGTATAGATACTGTTCTTGACACTCTGGGTAATCTTGGTCCAAATCATAAAGGAGGTTTTGTGGATGGAATAAAAAATTTAGTTGAAAAGACTAAAACAAGTTTCCAGAAGATAACTCATATAGAAAGATTCAGAAATGAAGGTTATATGGAACTTGAGAGTTTTGATGTGACTGGACCTTTGGAACCAATTCCAATGCCACGTGATGCTAATGATGAAGAAGAGAAAGATCCTGGACCAAAAACAATCATTTCTACGTTAAGTACTTTGTACCCTGATTTTGTGACCTTAGTGAAAGTTGCTAATACATCAAGAAAGAACAATAATATTAATATGTCTGGTACTGATGACCTTACTGATTATCTTTATCTCATTCTTGCTGAATTAGCGAAGAAAGTTGAGGAGAACAAAAATAATGGAGGAAGAACTGCACTTAAGATTGCAGACAAAGCTGACAAAAGTTATGTTGACGAAGAGATACGTAAAGTTGCATCTAAAGAATATACTTTATCACAGTCTGTCATACTTAAGACAATCAAAGGTCCAGAGAAAGATATGTCCCAGGTGATGGTACAACAGTTAAAGTTAATGAAAGAGTTTCATTCCCATCTGGTATTGATACAAAAGAAGTATATATTAATGGTGAAAACATCAATACAACATTGATTCCTTTGAAAAATAATGAGTTCACTGAACCTTTGACAGTTAAATCAATTCGTTCAAGAGAAGACAAACCTGTTATAATCAATAAAATAAGAGCAGACGACATAATATTGAACTATACCCTTGGTTCAAGTGCACCTTTAGAGAATCCAAGTACAAGCGTAAAAGATACACTAAACTCCTTAAATAACAAATGTATGAACATTGAAGGTCATGTCAGAAACTTTGAAACACATGAACTACCAACAATGTTAGATAAAAAAGCAGATAAAGAACATACACATAACTTTCTCAACTGTTGCTATAGAAAGTATTGAAGGAACGGTTGAAGAAACTGGTGGGGATACATTATATTGTAAACCTCCTAACTTTCCACAAGGTTTAACATCGGATGACGACATAACGACGATGAGAAACATTAGATGTAAAGATGTTTATGTCATGAAGGATGAACATAATATTAAATTCACTGCTCAAGATTTATATGACAAGAAAGCAGACAAAACAGAGCTTCAAACATTAAAGACAGAAATACTTCAAACATTATATCCTGTTGGTTCTATTTATACGTCAATGAACTCAACAAATCCAGAAACAGTTCTGGGTTTTGGTACATGGCAGCAGATTGTAGACAAATTCTTATACTGTGCAAACTCTTCAAAGCAAACAGGAGGTTCGAAGAAAATTACTGAAGCAAACCTTCCACCGCACACTCATACAGGAACTACAAACACAACAGGTAGTCATTCACATTCAATAACAAAAAGAGGTTATACAAATCTTGCAGCAGGTTCGGATAGACAGGGAATGCATAGATATGATATTTCAAGTGACCCAGTAGATTCAAGCGCAGGTATTTTCTGTGGAACCACAGGAAATCATTCACACACTTTCACAACAAATCCAACAGGCTCGGGTGCAGATTATATGCCACCATTTATGACTGTATTCGCTTGGTTCAGAGCTGCTTAACTCAAGATCACGATCACAAACTGTTTCTCAGTATGAATGAGTAGCTCTATTTTTACATCATTACTGAAGTATTTCTTTTCTTCATCAATGACAGAAAGAATGTTTTCATCATCTTTTAAAGATCTTACCAAAGTTAGATCTTCATCAGAAAATCTCAAAGAAAGACTCATTTATGCACTAATAAAAATATAGCTAATTATTTTTTTATCTGAACTTTTTATCGGGTATATAAAGATGTCTGAACATCATATAAAGTTCTTTAAGATCCAACAGTTTGTAGATGAAGTGAAGAAGCAAAATAAAACAGCAAAGAGACTACTTATATGCTTACCACAAACATTATGTCAAGGAAAGTATGGTTATAGTGCAAGTCCGATCATGATCTTTGTCGATAAGCAGAAATACACAAATGAAGGTTTAGCTAATTTACTCAAGTTTGAAAAGATAGCTATAAACATTCCTGACCATTTCTCAGCGAGAATAAACCTTGACAAGACTAAAAGTTATTGTTTATATGTAGATCTCACGAAATCAACAAAGAGTAAAGACAAAGAATATAACCCAGTTGAACTTAAGACAATGGGTAAGAACTTACTCAAAGCTGCTATCAAACCTGTCGAAGAGATCGACATTGAGGATGAAGCAGAAGAAATAGATGTAGATCCTGATGCATTATAAACGATAAAGTTTATTTTTGGAGGAAGATGGTGTCAGACCCTTTAATCTGGTATGCTTGTTCTAGGTAATTGCAGAAACCTAGAAAGATTGTATTGGTCTGAGTTTCATATCTGTTCTCTCATCTCTCCATTGAAGCAAGTAAATTTATGAAGAGTTCGTCTGGATTCTCAGGTTTTGGTACACACTGATCGAAGATCTGTATGACCTCTTCATGACCGTACTCCCTATGGTCAGACATGAGTGTTAAGAAGAACTTTGCATCTTCGGACCAGGTTTAGCATCTATGCAACGAGTGGGTCTCATTGACATTTTTGTCACTTTTATTTGGTCGAATGGAAGGATTCGAGTTCATGCCACTTGACAGCAAAGAAGGTGCAGAAGAGGTTGTTGTTGCTGCATTCTATGCGAGCTCACACGTTGACGCATTCCGAACTTACCAGGATGACCTCGAAAAAGAAGGTCGAAAGCTTGGAAAGATCCAAATGTTGCTTGAGTTCTTCCGTGGAAACCTTGCACAGAAGTATGAGAAGAAAGAATAAACAACTAATTATTACTGAGCTTAGCTCATAAATGTAAGTTTTTACTCTGATCAGATCTTAGATCTCGTCGGGACAAGCGGAAAGGATAAAGTCCATGAGCTGGACTTTTGTCTTAGTGAGCGGTACTGCGGTCATGAGTAGTTCGCGCTTGTTTGAGCCACTTGGAACGCGACCCTTCCAATTCCTCATAGATCTCAAGGCAGAGATCGTGAAGAACTCAAGGACAAAGAGTCTTTGAGACTTGGTAAGGAATCCCTCATCATCTCTTTCATCCTGGAGGGTCTTTGTGGATGCAGTGGACTTGATCTCGTCTTCCTCGATCGGATCATTCTCATAATCTTCATCACCCTTCTTCCTAAACGTCATCTGCTCTCTCTTGTAGTCGTTCCTGAGAGCATTGAGTCCAGCTTCAAGATCTTGTGAGTTCTTTGCAGGTTTATTGAAAGTTTTCTTTTCCTGCATTTGCTGTATAAGCTGGGTTTGCTGTTGCATCATCTGCATCATCATTGCCATCATATCTAGTGTTGGTGATGCTGGAGCTGGTGTTGTACCATCTTGGGACATTCGGTCGTCGGTTATGTCTTTACAAAAGACTGCTTTACAAAAGACAGCTTTACAAAAGACAGCTTTACAAAAACAGCTTTACAAAAGACAGCTTTACAAAAGACAGCTTTACAAAAGACAGCTTTACAAAAGACAGCTTTACAAAAGACAGCTTTACAAAAGACTGCTTTACAAAAGACAGCTTTACAAAAGACGTCTTGACAAAAGACAGCTTTACAAAAGACGCTTTACAAAAGCATTTTCTCACAAAAGAATCTGCTTTACAAAAGACGTCTTGACAAAAGATTGCTTTACAAAAGTCTGCTTTACAAAAGATTGCTTTACAAAAGATTGCTTTACAAAAGTCTGCTTTACAAAAGACAGCTTTACAAAAGATTGCTTTACAAAAGCCATGACTGATCTTCATCCAATTTGTTTAATCGAACTTAATGAAGTAATTTCTGCATATCTCCTGCATGTATTTGGAAACGAGAGGAAAGACAACTCACCAAGGTTTCCAGACGCCAGATCCAAAGACTTGAATCAACTGCAGGAGTAATCCTAAGCTTTGAAGAAGGATTAACCAATAAGAAAGATGTCATTGACTCCAAGCGTGAAAGCCTTGCTGCTTTCTTACGCAAACACCCATGGGTCGATGTTGATCTCCAAACTCCTTACCAAGGACTCGTTGAAACCTTCACGACCTACAGACAGCTCCTTGACAGACCTGAGCAGAACCTTCTGGTCGAACGTGATGGCACATTAAGCCCTACAGACGAGAATTGAGAAAGAAGCTCAAGAGTAAAACATTCATTTATACTTTTGACATTTTTTTCATGAGTGTTCACGTTAAGATCAATGATGAAAACATGACTCATGGGAAGATATCATTGATGACATAGAGAATGACCTTGATGAAAACATGATGGGAGCTCAAACGTCAGTTAAGGTCAAACTTGGTGAAGTTCAAGAAAAGATCTCCGAGATCAATGCAAAAATATCTGCTCTTACAGAGGTTGACGTTTATTACAGAAGCTTGGAGAGAACTTTAAGCAAACTTGAACGTCAGAACCAAAGTCTCATAGTTGTGCTCCAGAAACTCAGTCTCATGCGTAAAGCATATAATGACTACCTACATGTAAGAGACTTACCTTCTTATTCTACTCCAGATCTCGACTTTTCCGATATAAGTCCAATCCTTATTGATACAACACTTACGATAGCAGGGATGCTTCCTACATATCCAGAATATGATAACTTACCTCAGCTCTTCGAGTATCTCAAGAAAAAGTTCATGATCTTATTATGCGAGACCATGAAAAGACGTCAAAATACCAGAACAGAACGAGAACAGAGCTTACTAATAGACTTATTATATAATACTAAAGAAATAAAGGAGTTTTTATTCTAACTTTGGTATTTTTGGGAAGAACTGATCTGGATCATATTTGTCAACCACAGGTTTTGGTATCAAAAGTCTCTCTGGTTCTTGGACGGCTGGTACTGGAAATGGTTCCTTTGGTTTCCTAGCTTTTGGGAGATCTAAAAATTTTCTTGGTCTCTTTCTTTTGTGTAAGTGTTGTCCATTTTTATCGACAACGAATGTGAGCTTTCCGTCGTCAAAGATGAATGTCGTCGCTTCTTCAGTTCCCTCATCAACTATTATCTTCTTGATCTTTCTCTTCTCCATTAACAGAAAAAGTGACATATATTACTTCATTATTTTTCTGAGTGTTAGGATTAATTAAACCTCTATCTATAACATGCTTTCTCATAGAAATTCTCTCCATATCTTTTTGTCAATATCTCTATAAGTTCTTCTGTATAAGATTTATCACTACTGAAGTAAATAGATGGATAATTAAGGACATCAAAGGTTTCTACAGTATCTTTAAGAGTCCATTCATCTCCATACTGTATAGAATAAGTATGGAAGTATGGAGGATCACATATAAAGAAAACATTGGGAAGATCTTTATACTCATTGAAGAGTATTCTCCAATCTTTATGAACAATAGTTAAACCTTCAAGATAGTCATCTATGTTTTCACCAAATAAGTTAGTATATCTGAGGTATAACACTTTCTTCATTAATGTGTCAAGATCATAGTATTTGTATGCTCCAGAATAGAGAAGACGTGAACATAATGTATCCCAGTCTATGTATGGAGCTTTACTTATAACTTCTCTGACGATCTCTTTCTGATCAGTAGGAATTTTCTCATCTGGCTTAACATTTATTCTCTCCTTAAGTTCCTTAAGTATTTCATTCGTGTCATGAATGTGTTTCAGTCTATCAACGTAGTTATCATAGTCGTTAGCTATGATCGTTGCTTTTGGGAACATAATATGCAACAGATGAGAGATATAGAGAGAACCACCAAAGAGGTCAACGAAGACATAATCCCCTTTGATGTCTTTGAGTATGTCGATAAGATCTTTCCTGATCTTAGACTTATTACCTATGAAAGGTAAAGGAGGTTTGGTAAAAATCATTTATATGGTAATAAAAATAAGTGTTTACTTGAGACAATAACCTCTGTTGAGTTTGTAGAACAAGATCAGAAGTACGATCAAGTTCAAAACAACACAAATGGCTAGGATTGCGTTACCAACAATCTTTGTCTTTTCCCAGCAAGACTTCTTCTTTGGTTCATGTGCTGCTTCGACATCACTGTATGGCTCGGACATTAACTTAAAAAGTGTCATGACCACTTCATTTTTGATGAAGTCAACAGCTTATGTCCACTTCCTCCCACAAGCACTTGAGGAACAAGAGAAGGTCATCATTGACTACCTTCAAGCCACTGAGAAGCTCCAAAAGCTTCAAGATCTCCGCGAAGAGTTCAAGTCCCGCTTGAAACAGGAGAACTTACTGCAGGAGTACATGCTCATTTTACCCATTACTAGATGGCTCCCATTTACCATCAGAGTACACTGCAGCTCTTGATGCACTCAAAGATCTTCGCGATCACCCGATCGGTAAATAAGCCTTCGAGCTCACCATTGAGCAAGCCATCCTCGCCAAGGACAATGCAAAGAAGCGGATGCTCGAAGCTCTTGATAAGATCAAGGAGTACGTCGAAACGTTCTAAAATAATTACTTGAGTAAACAATAAGTTTTATTGAGTAAGTCTTGAAACATTTGTGCTTTTGTTCTTGTTTGAACAACCATATTTAACATTAGATAAAAAATTTTTTGGTTAAACAATAACATACTTAAGACATAAATTATACCTACTTATTAACTCAGTATATTGTGCATTATATGCATACTTAAACTCTTGAGCAATATTGTTCTCATCAATGATTCTGATCTGAGCTATTTTTGAGAAAGGTGGTGGAATACCACAACATGTGATGTCTGGGTCCAGTAGGTCTATTTCACACTTGAACCCAGTCATTCTGTGAACAACTTCTTCCAAGTCTGGCTTAGGTAGTAAGATCTGATCTTTGCTCACTAAGTTAGAAAAGAGCTCTTTGTCTTGGTCTAGAAGTATCTTCTGGTATATACTAAGTAAATACTCTTCTACACCAATCCTCGATGAAGTCTCCACAGATCTCGATGAGGTCAGGTTGGAAGTTAATGGACTTAAAGGAGGAGGATACATTGGTGCTTCTGAGTTCGTAGTTGTTTCCTCTTTTTTTATCTCTGTTGGAGCATCACTTACTGTACCAGATGGATAGTTCTTTATCACAATGTTATTAGTTGTTCTTGAATCAACATTGCTTGTTGGTTCAATTGGAAGATTAGCTGCACCATAAAGAATTGACTTCGATCTCATTTGTTATGAGTAAAAATTGTTTTATTCTCATATAAATGACGAACATTAACCCAGAGAACAACACAGAATATACTGCAACAGGAGTTGTTTACAATGATCTAGATCAGATCGTCCAACTCAAAGCCCCAAGAGGAAGGAATTTAATAAGACAACCTCCACCAAAGATATATGTTGATGATGGTAGTAATGGGTTCAACTTAGTGTATCATTACTCATATCCTCAATATGCAAAAATTGGGTCTACCCCAAACGTGACAAACCATTATATGAACCTTTATGATGAAGCAAGGTTTCATGCACCAACGAAGAAAGAACCTGATGCATCAAGATTACATGAATTCGCAGACCATGATGGTTATAGCGATTACTCAATGCCTGTAAGACTTTAACGTTAATAAAAAAATGACTGTTGGTAAACAAGAAAAAACTTTAATACAAGAGGATTTGATGCTACCAATATATTCAACTGATATGGGAGCTTATCAATTCGATACATTTGAGAATCCTGGTGGAACACCACCATATTTTCTTTTGTTCATCAATGTAAACAGTAGAAAAGGTTATGCGTTCCCAATGAGTGAAAAGAACTCAAACAATGTTCTAAGTGCAATGCAGAAGTTCATTTCACAAGCTACAGGTGAAATGAAGCCTACAATACTTACTAGTGATGAAGACCCAGCTTATACGACACAAAATGTTCGAGATCTGTTGGTCAGTCATAACATTGAGCACATGACGACACAGAAATACAATCATAACATACTAGGTATTATTAATAGGTTCTGTAGAACTATTAGAACTATGTTACATATGAAGTTAAACCTCAAAGAAGGTGATAAAACACCACCTTTCACTGCAGATACAATGAGACAAATTATTAATGACTACAACACTGAATATCATTCAAGCACACAACAAAAGCCTGATGATTTCACAGAAAAGGATAATGAGGAATATATAAAGAAGCAAAGATTGAAAGAAGAGTATGTCAGAAAAAATAACCTTTATAACTTAAGACCTGGTCAAAAAGTTCAAGTCATAGTTGAACCAAGAACATGGGGTAAAGGTAACCAACAAAGAAGACATCTTGATCCTTCTTATTATACAGTTGATTCAGTTGATACAAGTGCATACTTGTTAAGAGCAAAAGATGGAAGTGTTGCAAGATATCCACGTTATCAGATATGGACAAAAATAGAGCATGGATTAAAGCAAGGAGAAACTTTAGATCAAGGAAGACACGGTGCTGTTAAAAGTATTGATGGTCATGAACTTGTCGGTAATGATGTAAAGTATGATGTTACGTTTGAGAACGAAAATACAGGAAAAGTGACAGGTAGAGGTATGCGTGAAGGTAATCCAAACAGGTTGTCACAAATGGAAGTACAGTATTGGAGGAAAAATATTAATGAAGGTCATGTTAAAGATATGCCTAGT